TTTTGCAATTGATAAATAATAATGTAATATAATACTTTAGTCTCTTTTATGAATAATATACACATAGTAACGCATCTCATGTATGCATATATTTTGACACTCTTTATAGGGTACTTTTATCGAGATCAGTTTAACGAACCATTCTAAATTACCATCGCAATTTCACTTTTGATTAAACGTAGTAGTATGATAGTTATCCGATGTCTATTATGACGAGTAATGCTGTGTTTATTACTACGAATATTAACTGTGATTTCCTGAGTTTATAGTCGCCACAATGCCACTTTTGAGGCATGCTTTTTGAGAATAGCCACAAAAGTGTGTCGTGCCGACACCTATATCCATGATATTCTCGCTCCGCTGCTCCCCATCTCGCAGGATTAACGAACGTGTTTTGATTCGGCACGTGCGGAAAAAAGGGGAGGAGAAGAGATGTGGAATAGAGGCGTGATATAGATAGGATGGAGACGGTAGAAGCACGAAACGTTCGCCAAAGCGGAACGCGCTCGCGGAACGAATCGGATCACCCTATTCATCGGCGTAGCATTGACGAAAATAATCGGAACGAACGGCCGCCCCTTTAGAATTCATATATACGTTCCCTTTCGTCTGGGTGTGCGCGAACTCGATTCTTTTTTTTCACACAACATCGACAGACGCTTTATTTTTTTGCAATTGCCACCGCGCCGTTTTATGAATAAAAAACATACTTTTGTCCATGAACACTTCTATGTGTTTTCTGTGGAAATATTTTTCAATCATGGGCGCAATTTCACACATCCCCCGTATATGACTAGTAGTCTAATCGGCCTATTTTCATACATTGAAAATTAAAAAATTGCCATGAAACTTTATCGCGGTGTATCACCATGCATACCAATGACTCGATGACTAAAGTGAATGCGATGACAAAAGTGAAATTGCGATGATAATTTAGAATGGTTCGTTAAACTGATCTCGATAGAAGTACGCAATAAAAGCTTGCGCGATGATGTCAAAATATATGCATGAGACATTACTGCATATAAATTATTCATAAGAGAAACTAAAGTATTGTATATAATTATCATTTTCAATCGTATTATATTCTTGTATGGTATTTAATTATAATTAACTTTTGCTCGCAATCCAGCAATTAATGTCATAATTAGCAGTTAGAAAATTTTATCTATAGAATCAAGCAAAATATTATTCTCAATATCGTACCCTCTTGCGACGAACCGATGGCTTACAGCGTGCGCGAATTTTGATTTAAATTTCTTATACCGTAGTCATATTTTATCAGAGCGAACTTTCGCGTGAGCGATGGGTAATGTAAAGTTCGTGCCCGAAATCAAATCCTGCATGCCGTTATGGCGCGCTCGGTCGCCGTTAGCACATCGATACGGCTTCATTTGCGCACCAGCACGCGAACCGCAGTAAAATTTTTTTATGACCACGCCGGGAGCGAAAGGCGGAAGTAACTTTTTGGCGACTCAAATTAACCAGCGTAACTGCGAGCACGACAATTACCACCCGATGGCTCGGTCGTCCGTTACTGCCTATTCCCTTCTCTCTTTTACCCCCATTTCACACCATTGCCGCCCATACCGAGCTCGGTATTAATCACGAAAAACAGTTTCGGACTTCCGGTGCCCACCGACGCCGCATTCTCGATGCTGATGATGTTCCCGAAATCAAGAGCTTTTATAAACAATAAATCTGAACAGTCCCGCGTTGGTACGCAAAGTACTCGAGTTCGCGAATAAAATGACCGTGCTGATGAACTGTACGTGTACGAGCAAGCGAAATTGTGGAATAGAAATGTAAAATAATGCAAATTGCAAAAAGGTAATTTTGCATATATCAATGGTCTCAATAATAAAAAATGTAAAACAATAATATAATTAAAAATAAAATATCGCTATCTGTAGAATAGAATAAGATTCATTTATATATGAAAAAATAAAAACTTTACAAAGAAAAAAAATTGAAAAAAGTAGGTACATTTTCTAATTATTTGACTTGATTATTTAATTTTAAATTGAGTGATTTGTGTAAAATAGAATTTTTTTTCATTTGAAAGCTTGTATACGTTATGAACATCAGAGACGAGATACTTGTAAAAGTTAAATTTTAATTATATGAAAATCTTGTATCATGTGCGTGAACGCTAAAGAAGCAGAGTTTACTTTCAAAATTTAACTCCAAAATTATACTGAATATGCATATATACTTTGTTATAACTCCACGTGATAGTATTTTACGAAAACTTCGGCATATAATCGGCTATGAGTTTTGCGATAATTACATGCAACATAGTCGACCACAAAGTGTACGAAAGCACGTTCTAAATATATCGATCGATTTAAGACACATAAACGTAGATGAAAAGCATATTTTATGAAATATATAAGAGATGACTCACTAAAAATAAAATACTACGACAATACTGCCTGTATATTTTATTATAAAGATATAAAAAACATAATGCGAAATCAATTTCTATTTTCGTAGATTTTTTCCAAGGACTTTTTTCAGAATTATATGGATATTTTCATAGGACCGCGCGCGCTGTATCGCCATAACCGTAAATATCACTGCTGGCGTTCATAATTCTGAGAAAATTATGTCCTGCCTTAGTAATTGGAAAAGGGAGAAAGGGGAATATATATATTAATGGCGCAACATTACGCGCGTTAATTGTTGCTGGCTACCGGTTTACTGTTAATGCGAGATCTATTTCTGTATTAATCTTTCGTCGCCCTAATGAAACAAATTTAATCATCATCATCTCGCTGTCGGATCGAAAGTCACTTATTTCGTAGGAACCAAGTAAATAAGATGAAAAATGATTGCGCGGCCTGGGGAATGATCTTGCGCGCGCGATCGTTTAGCTTTTAGCTAAACGTGATGGATAATTAAAGGGAAGAAAGTGGCCGACATGAAGTCGGACGTGAAAGCGCGTGCGAGTCGGATAATAAATTGAGTTTTACCAGAGGGATCGGTTTCATTAAAGCACGATAATTCTCGTCTTAGTATAGAGCAGCCGCGGCAGTTTCTCCGCGAAAATAAATAACGGCAGTAGTGCAGGTGCGCCACTGTCAGACCTGTCGCGGATTAATGGTGCGCCTCGCTGCGCCGCGTCGCGCGTTACGTCGTTCTCGACTACTGGAACTGGCGTTCTTACGAAGGGACTTCGCCTTTAAAAAGGAGGTCGCAACCGAGATCGACGCGAGTGCATCATGTTCCTCCTTCTTAAGGAAACGGAGAGGCAATCGAGATACGTAACGTATTACACGGCGGACTATGATACTACAAAGCGGCAAATACTACAAAGGCTAATACCGATAAATGATGCCTTCCCGCATACCATTTGTCAGGATTACGAAGATGTAGAACCAAGGGGAAAGGAAACACTCTCGAGAAAGAGAGGGGAGAAGTGGGAGAAAGACAGGGAAGGAAATAGGAACCCGCAGAGACGGTATCCATAACAACGAATCTAAAAGCGTAGAAAGAACGCCTCACACGTCTATTACACTTTCACGATTCACGCGATTCTACTGCTGATGATGATGATGTATGCGATATAATATTCATGATCTCATTCGGAATGTATTTGTATCCGAAGAATTATTCCAAGCAAGAAATTAGAAATTAAATATAAAATGAGAAATCTCAAAAATACATTTATCGATTCGTTCCTTATTCAAATTAAAAACTTTAACAAAACTGATCTCAATTGCAATCAACTCTGTGTAAATTGAAAATAGTATAAAATAAGAATGTAATTATCGGAAACTCTAATACAATAAATGGAATAAAAAGATCTAAGATGTTTAAAAAATAGGGAATTTCTGTTAATCAATCTGTTAATCAATCTGTTAATAAATAATCAGAATTTTCACTGGGAAATTGATGCCGTGCAAATTTAATCTACGAATTTATTATCTGTAAATAATAAATGTGATAAAACGAAGAAAGCGATATCATAAATTCTCTTCATAAATTTTATATATACTGTATATACGAAAATTTCTTGTTAAAAATGTATTAACATAAGCAAAAGTGTATTCTGAAGTAAAATATATTTTATTATAATGTGAAAGAGAGAAAAAAAGCTATTGAGATATTTAAAATTGATAATGTCACATAAATTAGAATTATAAAAGATATTGTCAAGAAAGATATAACTTCTCTCTTACTAGCAGCAATAATGCATTTGATGTACAAGTTGAAAAAAGCAATTGTTCTTCGCCAAATTAATCTTTAATTTCAAGAGTTCCCGACTGTCCTTCTTGATATACCATGAAAGAAAATTGCAATAAAAATAAATCGCTCCATTCCAAATGCAGAATCAAAATCATTTTTTATGCGGCGGGAAATGATTCCTGCTGCCAAGAAGGAAAATAAAGTAGAACGTAGCAGCGTTTCTCTCAGTGCGATCTTTCGGTATAATTTTTGCGATTATAATTTTTCAATTATATCACGGAATTCCGTTCACCAAGTGATTTCCCGACCTAACACGAGCATCGCAATCTTATTTTTCCGTAAATTCCATTCTCGGTGCGCGATAAAGCGCAGCTTCTCCGCGCGTGCGAAATACCGTTCTTATTTTAAGTTTACCAGCAAACTTTATGTCTGTCCATCCAATATTTGATAACGCAACAATTCCCGGCTTCCGGGCCGATTCCGAGAGCAGAAGTGGCACCGAGAAGTGGGCGCATCACCCGATACATACGCTCGTCAGAAATACATCGCGACGTACCTCGGAGCGACTCGATATCGATTTCAGATTTCAATTTAATGCCGTCACGATATCTCAGGCACGATCTTCCAATACCAATTTCGTGTTATCGGACTTTTCGTGTGACGTGCCCGTCCCGTGCAGCTCCAACGCATCGCGAGTCCGGGACATCCGCGGCCGCGCATCGCATCAGAGTCGCGAGACCAGAAAAGCCTCTCGCAGGCTCATGAATATTCTCGACGATAACTATATCGACATTTCTGTTGATTTTCAGTGCCGCCGCACGTGATCAAGATCGTCGATGAGAACGGGAACGAGAAGACCTCGACGGTTGGGCCGTATTTGGAGGGCGACAATCTACGACTCTCCTGCGACGTCCATGGCGGTGAGTATCGTAAAAATGGAGTGTGCATGGCAGCAACGTCTTTTTCAATCTCCAAAAACTACATGATTCTCTGTGTCTCGTAATGCGAGGCTCGTGCATGCCCTGCGTAATCGATATTAACAGTCAACAGGAAAATGATTCGAACAGAATCTTTGTTTATTAAGCAATATTTTATTTCTGTAAAAATGGAAGGATTTATTTTAATATATATAATAATATTTACTATGTATAATAATGTTTTAATAATTATTACTTATTATTATCTTTGATCTTATCTTTAATTATATTATTATCTTTAATACTAAGATTTCAATCATGTATATATTAATTGATTTATGAGACTTGGAATATCTACGAGTATGTACATATATTATGCTTATAATACATTAATTACATGCATTAACGTCCATTAATTTCCTATATAAATGACATAGTCATTAATTATATTGTAAATTAAATATTTATGTACTGTTCTGCAAAACATCGTTATTTAATGAATAAATAATCGGCGTGTTTATATTGCACACGTATAACGTTAAGCAATGGTTAACGTGTATTATGGAAATAATATTGCAAAAGTAGTTGTAAAGTATCTTTATATATTTTATATTGTTAATATCTTTTGTTTATTTTGTAGATTTCTAAAAAAATGTGCAATATTAATAATCTCGAAATTAAACATGATAGAATATAACTAAATTATCTTTTGAACATATAGATTATGCTTATCTACTCTAAAATATAATTTAACATAAGTTGATAACATAAATTATCAATATTTTAAAATGCAAAACAATTTTATGTACATACGTTAACCAATCGTTATTGGAATAACTTTGTAATATTAAATATTTGCATTAATCCTTGTTAATTTAGTGAATGTCTACACAAGCATATTTTTTATCATTAATTATATTACAATATCATTTGGATATACTACACAATAATGCAGATAGTTATGAATAAATAAATCGAATATTATTTATGCTTTATGTTGATAATGTTGATTATTAAACAGTTGATTATTAAACAGCATTCTTTTATAATGAAAAATTAATTTCATATTCCTCATTTATTAATTCTTTCTAACGATTATATGCTACAATTATTATATTTTATTTTTTTTATCGCGAGTAACCTCGTAACAATATCCATACCGCTAAATCTACAGCGGTATCTCGCAATAGTTGCGAGTTTATTGAGCGCATAGAGATATCGATAAATTCTGTTAAAACTCGAGCATCTCTCTATACGCGCGCTTCCGCTCTGAAAAGACCTCCGCGAAGCGTCGCGTTTCGTCGATACCGAGTGCGATAATTTTTCCGCCTAGCTGACACGCAGCGAGCTGAAACGAAATTGATGTATTTCCGTAGGTAAGCCGGCCCCGACAGTGTCCTGGTATCGCAACGACAAATTCGTCACCAACCGGATTACGGTACTGCGCAACGATGTGACACGCAGCGAGATCGTTATACAAAATTTGAGCCGGGACGACGTCCACACGGTGCTGACTTGCAACGCCACGAATAACAATAGGTCGATCCCGCTGTCGTCGTCGGTCCGCGTGGACATGAATTGTAAGTATCCATATATCCGTTCTGCCATAAAAATTCGCCCTCTCGACTCCGCTCGTCGATGAAAACGTGCCGCGGGACACGTTTTATATATTGACATTTTTTTAATTCGCGCGAAATATGATAATTGCAATTGCCTAAGCAATACGATAATAATGACGTGCCGTTACATCGTATGATTAAAATGAAAATTCTGTCTTTAGAATATTCATGAATATATCATCTGAATTTCTCGTCAAAATATGAGGGTTCTACGCGACGTATATAATAAGCGTTCACAGCACAATTTTCAAACATCTTCTATTGGCACTAATCGTCTTACGTCTGACAATGACAAAGATATGTGAACTTAGATAGCTGAATTCTCTCGATCCGGTAATAGGATAGAAGTTGAGCGTGTGCTTGAGGGACGTGTAATCCGGAACTCTCTGTGTGATATTGCATTTGCCTTTCACTTACTGCGAAAGAGGATTCGTCGAACATCTCGACTGTATTATATCTATCGTGCTATTGACAAACCGTTCACATCATCGGTGAGATGTTTATCGGGATAATAGAAAATCCGATGGCCATTTTTCTAGATCCATTTGTGCGCGAGCCGACGACGAGTGAACTTCCGAAAGGAAAGAAGGAAGAAAAGGAAGAGGAAGGGAGGATACGAGAACTCGTCGATATAGAGAGATGAGATATTCGACCGCTCTTGGCCAGAGTTCGTCGGCCCGTGTTGAGAGGATATAGATCCATCCGAATTTTGATACGTATTCGAATCATAAAATAGTGATTTCTCACTTTCTCGCACTCTGTCCGTTCTTCAGAAGATTATATTCAATCGAAGAATTTATTCGGTAACACAATATTCGCGCGCCTTCCGTTCTAGGTCAAATCTATGTCCATATTCTTCATCATAAAATTTAATTCCTTTTATTATTTATTCATGTGATAGAATCTATTGAAAGTTGTAGCATAGCACTTAAGTTGCGCGATATAACAATTATAAAGTGCTATCAAATATTAATAAAACATTATTTAACTTTATATCATATCTCTCTTTTATTATTTATATAGAGCAATATCGAATTTTGATCGTAAGACATATTGTCGGATTATATCAACTTAGAATGCTCTATATATTTAGCAGATGAAAGTCAATAGGGTACAGTAGAAAATGACGATGCTTCTTTGAACCACGGAATACGTCGTAATAACGTTTACAACATGGATACCTAAGGCATACAAAGCAATGTCAAACATCCAGATCAATACCATTGGTGTATTGATATAGATGTTTGATATCCATACCAATGTCAAATATCCATGCTAATACAGGACAATCCCAGTGTACGGGGATCTAGAACAATCAGTGTTTCCCTCTGTTTATACAAGAAGAAGGAAAATCTAATATTAAGAAAAATATATCTTCTCCGATTAATTTCTATTTTCTTCGCCCTTTATTTATAGGAATATCTTTGTCCGATATACAGAAAGAAAAACCAATGAAAAAGATTAATAATTTAGCCTTCAAAACTGCACTCACTTGAACGAAAAGGATATATTCGATAAGAGCCAACAAATATTGACATTCTTTCGAACCGACTCGTCGACTCTATAAGTCCTATAGCTAGAATGTCGACACGTAGTAGATATAGAACGCGATGTATTGGCGATGGAGATGAGATGATCGCGTGTTTCTCACCGCAGCATGAAATCAGGATGGACGGTACAATTTACGGACGTTACGATCCAGAGGACGCACTCCGAGCTCTTCCCCAGAGGAACCTTTGCATTCTTTACGAGATCGGAGGCCCGCATCGCCCATAGCAACGATGCGTGAATGGCGCGTTAAAAAAAAAAAGAGAAAGAGAAAGGAAGAGAGAAAATGCCGGGGACAAGGGTGCGAATCCGCCGTTAAAGTGTGAATAACGTTCGGGCCAACGTAGTGCGTCTTCTCGCGGCGTGGAATTCGATTATCCCAGACGTGATTTAAAATATTCCCGATAGCAGCGGCAGCGCGATGCTAGCGGCAAATTCCGACTGCGTTATTTCCTTTTTCTGTGGGAGTAGAGATAAAGGCGAACGTCACGTACGGCTCTACTTTCGCCGACTCTTCGCGAGCTACTGCCTTGAAGAAGGTAGATTATCGCGAAATCTCTTTTCGTTCGATCGCGTCTTACAGTGCGATGAGAGATGCTGAAACGACTCTTCCCCAGGATACGGAATGACAAAATCGTTATATAATGAGAACGAGATAACTTTTGAAGTCCTCTAAAATGCGTTTCCCGTAAACGCTTATTCCATTCAAATTGAATGTTTTGAAAACAAATATACGGCTGAAAATTGAAATCCCTCGATTAACGTTACAATTTTGTACTATTTACAAAATGTGTATATGATACGTGCAACCAGAATAATATCTAAATAATAATATCATATTATATAAGCAAATTGCATGAAATTTTATTCTTTAATATAAATGTACGCTTATATATCACATTTTTTTATAACTGTCTAAAGTTTCAATTTCCAAAATTTATCAATTGTTGTTTTTAAACTGATTCTTCATAAACAAATGTATAAATTGATTGATGCCATCCATGATAATATGATTTAAAAAAACAACTTTGAAGAAAATGAAATTATTATAAATGTGAACATCTCATTATATACATCTTTTATATAATAAGAATTTTTAGATATAATTATATGCAAAAGAAAGAATATAAGCTAACTATTGTACTGTACAATTATAACTATTATACGATGAAAAGAAAGTTTTGAAAGCAGATCATCAAGAGTATGGCAATTAAAAATATTGAAGATGAATAAATACATCGTTTATGGGAAAATAGAGTTTGTTTTAAATATATTTTAATGATAAAATCAATGAGAAAGTAGACACGCCAAGCATTCGTGAAATTCTTATATTGACGGCGTACATAAAAAACATTAAAAGTCCACGAGAATCTTCATTAAAGAAATACAGAGAAAAGTTCAACCACGATTTAAAAGCAATGGACGAAGTATAATGAAAACATACTCTACGGCTCCGACTCGAACTGACTGTAATTCGAATGTAATAAGAGAAACTTTTATTCGCGCTTGGACGTAATTAAATGTGCATATACACGATAGTTTTACTGGCTAATTGATTTTCTCGCAAACTTTTAAAAGAGAGAAATTTTGTGTATCTTTATAATACATGCACAAATAAGATTTCAATTTTTTTTACGAATTTTCAAAACTTTTAATCGACAAAATAACATTTAACATTTGAGCGCGCGATATTTTTGAGACACATTATGATATTGGTTACAATATATTACATAGAGTACTTCTCTCTTGTTAATAAAAAGGTAATTTGGTCATTGATATATTTACTTAATGTGAGAAAGAAGAAATCAGAATAAAAGCTACAAAATACATATATATGATAAAATATATTCTATATATGTGTAAAAAAAGTATAGTAACATTTTTCTAGATTCACGATTCGTGACTACTTCTGATAAAGCTTGTAGATGACATTTCGGTGTAAAAGTCGGAATGAAATCGGTTAAACACGCGACCTACGTAATAGCAAATTATTCAAGATAACGTGAAATTATCGGACGATTTTACGTTGGGCGAGAAAGACAAGAGGATTAGATCCCATTAGCATACACGAATTGGATTGGAGCAATGCCGTTGTCTCAGTTAAATCGATTTTTATCAGGTATTGTTACGCGACGCCTGCCTTCGAAAACGATTTGAGAGTGAGGGTAACATGAAACGAGGAACGCTTGTCGCGTTTCCAAACTGATTTGAATTCCTCCTTTTTTGCTTAAACGATCTATTTAACATAACTTTATTGCGAAGAATGTAGAAAAAGGTATACTATTTGCTTAAAAATAAGAAGTATATTATATAAGTAGTGAGCTCGAAATCGATTCTTGAGAGAGAAAAAGGCAAATCTAAGTTCTCATGTCAATCTCTATCTCATGTCAAATAATTTTGTATTTATATTCCTTGGCTTCTCAAACATTTAAAAATTTATTTGATAATTAATTTAAAGATAAAGAGTTGAGTAGAGCAAAGCATGCATAAAAGATTTTATTATTAATTATATATAATCATATTGATTCTATTTTATTGATTGATTTTTCTTTCATTAATAGACAGTTTTCGATCAATTAGAGTATATTTTTCCGGAAATATTAATATTCTATATACATTGATACACATTATATCATAATGATAAATAAAATAATTGAATATTAGGAACGATACGGTATTCTCTGGGATATTTAAGGGAAACAGTGCAAAAGAGAGAGAATGTTTTCTTCAGGGCGGATATCATGGTTGTTCGCAACGGTCTTTTGACGATGGCGACTTTTGCGCTCGATATGCGACGCTCAGTAACACGGATTTCCCGTGTAATATATCTCCCTTTCACGTAAAAGCGCGCAGTCCCTTTCAATATGCCGAGAGCGGCGCTGAGCGTTAGTGCGCGGACCATCTTTTTCGGCTGATTTTGGCAAGTGTTCGCGCGCGCCATATGTAATGGCGAACGCCACGTTATTCATTTCGCTGACAGAATACAGAAGTCATTTGTCGACTCGCTAGCGTGCTGACTTGACAATACCTATTAGATGCATCCCGTGAATACCTAGCTGTCTATCTTTCTCTCTCTCTCTTTCCTTTCTCTCTCTTTCTCGTTCTCTCTCTCTCTCTCTCTCTTTTATATAGGCTATTACCTTAGCCACTCAGACGTCAGAAGAGCCCGACAAATGTCCTCGCAGACAATAAAGGAACTAATGAGCGATTAGCATGAAGTGTAGGTATAGAAGTGAATATTATAATCAAAAGAATGATTGATTATTAATCACGATAAATTTAGCAAAAATAAGGAATTCATGTTATTCATGTGATATACTGAATTCCGAAAATTAATTTTCTGAAATACATTTTTTATAAATGTAATCTTATTTTAAAGGAGTTGATTTATTTTAAAAAAGATTTTCTTATTT